GGGGGGTGATGGCTTCGGATAACTTATAACAACAAAATAGGCAACCAAGTTTGAGCAATCCGATCATCGTGAATGACAGCAACTTTTGAGAATGCTGTATTTTACGTTCTGGAACGTAACCTTGGTCAATGTTGGGGCACAAATGGAAGCAGATAAGTCTGTTGCACATCAATTACAGTTTCCCCAGTCCGTCAGTTAACGACACTCATTATATTCTTCTTACTAGAGTGCTATTTTGAACGAGCCGTAGTCGCCTCATTAAGTTGCGGACTCTGAGAACTAATCGGTTTACGAAAAGCTGCATGGAACAGTGATGTTGACAAAGCTTCACGGATGGCCAATAACACATCAGGAGCCAACACAACAAGTAGGAGTCCCGTTAACAGGAAAACGGAGCTTGCCATCAACTCGATGCTACGAATTCCGTGTGTATTACTAATGAAAATGACTTGATTCCTTATGTCAGGATCGCCTTTGTTCCTTGCATCCTTTAACAAAGAATCAGAATTTCAATTTGTGATGGAGTCTTTGCATCAACTCATTAGCTCCTAACATTACGTTATGACCAAAACTGTGAGACGAACGGTAAGAATAACCTCAGAATTACTTGTTCTTTTCATTGATACCAGCCATCATACTGGTCCACAGTCATCTTAGTCAACTCCTCAGCCCACCATTGTGTGTCCGAGTTGGGAATACAAATCCCCCATCAAAACCGTTTCATAGCAGGATGAATAACTCAAGTTGTGAGCAGGCTTTGGTGGATCGGTGATAAGCTGTGCACACGAATTTATAGAATATCCGGAGCAATTAGGTAGAGGCATTGGTAATAAGTCCACTTTCATCATCCTGTTCCATATTATGACCAATGACCTAATAAATGAACGTTCAAATGCACTTTGCTTTCGTCAGTCTGTGCATGTTATATATATATATATATATATCATACGTATTTAGCAACATATGAGATTGCCAGGAGATCCTTGTGAAGAGGAAGTCACATGTGACTCTTAAATGCGCAACGGATGCTAAGGAAAAATAGGAAAAATCCACCCCAAAATAGCTTCATGTTCGTTTAAATAAAACAGAACGGCAATTGTGATTTCTACGGATTCCGCTGCCCAGGATAGCAACATTATACTCGATATGGAACTATGAGATTGTTCATCTTCTACTTCCGTTAATCACCGAAGAAATCTCTAATGATGAAACCATTTCCATTATTTTATTCACTTAATCGATTAGAACACAAAATGGCATTCAAATTACCAAAGTTCTTCAGTTCGCTGGCAGAAAAAACAAATCTACTGTCGGTTGCCCTCGCGTTCGCGACTAAATCCTCCACTGATCAATTTCTACAACGATACAACGTATGAGGTAAACCCTTTTCTACAAAGCCTTAGAGAGGAATGCACGCATACCACTATTCCTCTGATTAGCGACAGATTTCTTTTTTCCATGTAAATATTTACTCAGTCGGCCCCGCTGGATGGATCGTACTTAGGAACAGGTTCGGTAGTCATTGTGGCTTTTGGAACCGGTAGTCCAACCAACTACTCGCATCAACCATGTACCGGTCTAAGCTTGTTCGAATAAAAAGATTTACGACTGTTTGTGTATGCTCGTCTGGGGAGATAGTGTGCGTGTGGGTTGGTGGGTGTGGGTGCCGTGATACACACATTTATGTGTATATATAAACCGGCACACATGCAATCTCCAACACAATTAACTCTTGTACATGAAACACAATGGAATATTCTCAGACGGTCAGCCTTGGTGTCGAACGACCGCCCTCGGTCGGTCAACCGATCACGATGGTCAGGTAAGTGACTGAGATAGGGTTATTGTTTTTGTTGTTTATTGTTGACAATTGACACTCATCGACGCTTGTGTGTGAGAGAGAGAAAGCACAGTCAATCCGTGTGGCCACTTTCTCACCTCGATTGGTTCAACCTGTCTCAAGCTGGTCCCTACCCAGCTCCACCTTGCCTTACCTGTCGTCCCCTCCCCCCCGTCCCCCGCTCACTCACAACTATAAATCCAATTTATTTTGTATGTGTGATCTGGACTCAGATATATATACATACCTGACTGGTTCAAGAGCCAACGGGACTGTGTCATGTGTAAGAATAATGGAAATGATGATCTATGGAGGTTTCAACTTCAAACGGTATCCAACAGAATGGAGAAGCAAGCGAACTGTTTTTTTTTTTTCAGGCTAATTTACGGCTCAATATCACAAAGGTACTTGTGCGTATCAGCCACGATGTGCTAAATTGCAAATAACTTTCACTACACACTTTGGGGTCATTAGCAAGTGTTAAGAACCAATGTGTTGCTGTTAGTGAACGCGGAAGCATGGTGTCTCAATAAACAAGATGCAAGTTATAAGGTATTTGGGAAGGAAGTTACGGCCCATTTACTGACTGTGTTTACCCTTGATGATTGCGGCGCAACACGCTCATACAGGAACAGTGAGGAAGCTGATGATAATGGCGATGATGATGATGATGATGATGATGATGATGATGATGATGATGATGATGATGATGATGA